CAGATACTGCGGGTGTTGAGTAAATAAAATGATCGCTCTATTGACGGCATGTTTGTTTCTTGCAGTCCTTGTGCGCGTGCTGAATTGCATCAGCAAAAGCGCGCGCGAAAACTGTGTTCGGCCACCTTAATAGGCTGATTTAGCAAGAGAACGGGAACGTCACTTGACGACAGCGCGCACAGTACAAATACCTAAATATGGTCAGATGACGACTGCAGGGTGCGCAGAATAACCTGGATTCTGTTCTGATTTGACCATATTTGGGTACTTGTACTGCGCACGCCGTCGTCAAGTGACATTCCCGTTCTTGCTAAATCAGCCTACTGATCTTTTTTGAAAACCTTAACGGTGCCCGTGACATATTTTCCTGTCACCTCCCCAGTAGGTAAAACATCTGCGTATCTCGTACTTGTTTTGCGCGCTCACTACGCCATCTGCAGGTACATGTTTACAGTTGGATTTCAGTATAATTTTCGACAGATAACAGCTAGTTTTTCAGCTGGAACTCATTCACAGTTAGTGGTTAGCAATATGCTGCTATTTTAGTGTTCCTGGTACAGGTTCATTAAACTTGATTTGGTCACAGTGGGAAAATTTTGCTTTCATTTCAGTCGTGTACTTGGTAGCGTAGTTGATCGCGTCAGTGTCAACCCAGCGCGCACGTGACGCTTAAACCTGCCTTGCATGATGCGCAGAACGTAGGCGCACTAACAAAAGTAGGTACCGTCCTTAAATCTCGGAAATTTCCAGCAAGGAAAAACAGGCTTTGACAAATAAGCGTCATAAAGGAGAAAGTCATTATCGTCAATGATACTATAGGCATTTGCTGTCACCAAGGCATCGCTAACTGTGCTTAAGGACGTGCGTGCAAAAATTTTCCAACTTTGATTTTTTTCCAAGACTTTTACCACTGTAAGATGATGAGTTAGTTATGTAAGAAATGTAAAAGAATGGGGGTTCACCGACTTCATTTTGGAGAACATGCCCGGAAGAACGCCCTAAATCTGAAAAAAAACCGGGCTTCGTTAGCGAATAAGGCCACAGTGTCTGTAAGCCCAAAAATATTGCAATGAGATCTTTGAAGTGAAATGCTCTCTGCCAAATGTTGATTAAGTGGACCTATTACGTGAACTTAGTCAACTGGTGAGGTTCCTTAAAGAACAAGTTCGCATTTAGTGACCATAGTTTCACGCACCTTGCAGCCGCAAGATGGCAGGATTCGATGTCCCGTGGACAGAAATCTTGAAACTTTTTTAACTTCCCACATTGATTTTTTGTTCATTTTTGGACAATGTGGAGATAATTGTAAATTACATCTGTTTCTGGAAAGAAAAGTAGGGGTCACAGAATGTCCAAGATCGTTAAATCCAGGCAAAGCTATAGCCAACCACTAGCTATTATTTGAGATAAAATCTAGCTACAAGGCACTTGCAACACTGACATCACAAAAGCCAGTGGCATGAAATAAACTGCACGAAAGCGTGACGACAGCTACACAAATTTCACAAAAACTTATTTAATTGGCTTTAAATTTAGAAAGATAATTCTACAGATATAAAACTAACGTGAAATGAAATTAATTTGACAGGTAACTCGTAATGAGGAAATCCATACCATGCAGGACGTAATCATCCACTTATTCTGTGGCATACACAGAAACTAATTTCCTCATCCTTAAAGCTGCTTGCAAAACCAAAAATTCATGATGGTGATCAGTAGAGAGTTTAAGATATTCAAGAACAAATACAACGACACAACACTCTCATTCTTAGAACTCCTTCGTCGTTGTCTGTTATTATTCCGTATTAAACCTTTGGAAGATCCACAACATTAAATAGTATAAGCTGACTCACTCTTTTATCAATAATCCATCCCTTTAGGGACACATGAAAATATGAATGAAAATCCCTTTTTTAACAACTTTTATTACCTGTGTTAACTGTTTGTACATACTCAACAGCTCATATTTTCTTCTTCCTTTTAAATTATCTTATAAGAATCACCTGATACCCCAGTCTAGGGAGAAAAAAATAAGGGTTTGTCTCACATGTTTAGCGCACAAACTCAAACAAATCAATACAAGTCAATCACTAATTCAATATTTATCAGTCACAAAGCTAATCTACACTTCAGATTCCACGAAAGCAATCACTGCATAGAATTGTACTGTCATAAAAAGCCCTAACCTATATGGGTATATATATATAAAAAAAACTTCTAAAGGGCCTTTTCATCTTAAATAACCCTACAAATTAGGAGCTTTTAAGTTCTTGTCCAATCTTGTAGTTGAGAATCTTGTTCCAGTCAACTTTAGTACGTGTAATGGGTAGTTGCCTTCGTAATGCCTTGAATGTTGTATCTGACATAGTGCTGTAATTTTCTGAAAGTGCTTTCTGCGAAAAAAAAAAGAAAAGAAAAAAGAAACAATGTTGCATCAGATAAATTGTAATATAGTATTTTGACTTTATTATGGCACAGAATTTTCGAACCTTGTCTCACCATTTGGCATAACACAAGAATGATAAAAAAGGAAGGCAAGGGAAGACAATTGACATTCTCTAAGCATTACTTCCTTGGTGCTTTCGCCATTCGCAGCAGTTACAGTAACATCTCAACTCAATCAGTATCTCGTGGGTTCCCTTTACGTTGTTTACGAGTGCGCTCTTTCATTGCCTACGGTATCTCTTAAGCTAAGAAGTTTTAAAAACCGAAAAGAAGAAACGGAAGTGAAAATTATTTTCTTACTAACCTGGGCGCACGAGCGATGGAATTCAGATCTTGCATAGCAATATTTAAGCCCCCTTTGTAATTGATACAAACTGTATTGTTAAAGTAAAATGAGCCTTCACTTTACTGATCAACGCGTCGACACAAAAATTTCAGCGAGTGAAGCACACATTTTGAGTTCGTTTCCGGCGAGTTTTTAACGTTTTTTCGCTGAAATTTGGAGAGGATGCTACTCGATAATCAGGCCAAAAAATTGTGTCGGGGAATTTTTAGTTGTTCCTTCTTTCAAAAGTTATGACTATTTTAGTGATGAGAATGCATGTTTTATCAATTCTCAAAGTTTAACTGTGTGTCAAAAACAAACCAGACAACGAGTCAAAATTTCCCGACACCGCTTTTCAGCGAAAGGTGCCAAGAAGGCATAGCGATGTTGATCACGTCCTCTCGCTCAAATCCGACCGGAANGCCACAGTGATCGTATGCAGTGTGAAGAACAGGCTCCTGTGAATGTTGAAGAAGCAGATTTACATCAGTTAAGTGAAGCAGAAAATCCGTTTGGACTTCCAAAGGACTTAGATGACTCAGATGACAGTGGAGTGGATTCTGACTAGTTTACACTGCAGTCCGAACTGCTGCATGCAAAAATAAGCAGCTAGTGCTTGATGTAAACACAAATGCCACATTTGGTTGTTCATTTTTGCTATGTATTTTTCAGAATGTATACAAACTGTATTATACATGGCCCATAGTACCAGAAAGCATTCTGAGGTATCAAATGTCAAACATTTTTAGACTCCCGAAAGTCAATCCTTTATCTGTTTGCCCAACAACCCCCCACCCCCAACCCACCCCCTTAGCTTTATGTAGTGCTGCAGCTGCGGTTAGCCAGGTAGACCCACTTTGTGCGACCCCCCTGAAAAATTACATGACCTCTTGCCAAAAAAAATTAACTGGAACACTGATAATTACGCAAATTTTTTATTCAATTGACCCCGAAAACTTTCAGAGGAAACTTGTTTTCACAAAAAGTTGAAGAATTCATTTCAAGTCTCTGAATGTTATTGTGAGGTTTTATACTGACAAGCTGTCCACGCAGAAGATTGTTTCATCGCTTTTCCCGTTTTCCTTACACGTCGTGGGAAACTTGTTACGTTGGAAACGTTTGTGTGACTAAGGGTATAAACGTTTGTAAATTTGTCAATTTTCAACAGGTAAAATAATACCAGACGTGATGTAAAGGTCCCNTCAAATGTCTCTTTTTAATTTCTAATGTCAAACAATTTTTTTTGTCCGGCCAGACTGGCTCTTTGTCAGGTCAAAACTTGTCCTTGTCCTGACAAATGACCCGCCTATAGACAAAAATTATTTGCAGGCTTGTAGACGCCTGTACCACACATACCGCAAACATACTCACACAGATCGGTATCTCAATTTTGATGCCAACCAGCATCTGGATCACAAAAGGTCAGTAGTTAGAACACTTTTCCACCTTGCTAACACTGTTATCTCCGAAGAGGAAGATAAAGCGCATGAAATTGAGCATCTTAAAAGCATTTTGCATGACGACAACTAAAAGGCACGGATGTGCAAAATTCTGGAGAAACACAGAGAGAACCAGAGAGGCAGCCAGTACAAAGCAACAGCAATGCACCCCGAGTGTCCCTCTCCCCTATGTACAAGGTGTAAAGGAGAAAATCTCATGCGCGTTCCACAAGCAGGGTATAAACACCTACCATGTACTCTTCAACACCCTCAGATCACAGCTTGGACATCCTAAAGATCCCACAACCGATGGAAAGAAGTGTGGCGTCATCTACAAATTAGAGTGTGCTGATTGCAAAAAGGTCTACATTGGAGAAACCAGCCGACCCTTTAACGTCCGGTTGAAGGAACATTCTAACACAACTAGATCGACACTTTCTGCTGTTGGAGAACACCTTAGGGAAACATGCCACAATGTGGAAGAGAGGAAGGCAGCTGTCATAGCTAGAGAAGAAAACAACTTCAGAAGGAGAATTTGTGAGGCCTTGGAAATTCTCCGCCAGTCCCCGACGCTCAATTGAGACCGTGGATTGGAACTTCCAGCCCTGTACGGAGATGCTTTGGCATGTGACTTGGTTCACCCAAGCTCACGTGACAAATAGACTCCCACCACATTCACTTGAGAAAGAAGCTGCGACAGCGTCAAAAGCTCGTGATCGCTGAAACATTGACTCTGCTTCGGTATCTTGTTTCTTACTAAAGTGCTTTGGGAATTCAACTTATCTGAGCCAAAAAATCTACTTGTCCCAGATCACTGGAAGTTTTATGCTCCAGAGAAATACTAGATTAGTGAACTGTATCCCTTCGTTCTGAGGAAATATTTATTCAACAATTCAAATTCAACAAGAAGTTCCTTTGCTGAGCAAATGGTGTATTTTTTCATGCGGGTTAGTCTTTCCTGTTGCTTGAAAAATTCATTAATCATGAGAATGTAGCAGACGTGGGAGTGAATGGGTTGAAATACCTGGTAGTCACTTTCTGCATTGTCTATGATCTGCAAAAAATGCTTGGCTGTGCCAGCTTCACTCTGGAAATGCAAGTAAAAAAATAATATGGATCATTCCACATAGCAGTCAACAAAGCAATAATGGGTTTTCCCAACAAACACAATTCTGCCTGCGCTGTCATTTTAACTTTGATTTTTTTAAACAACTTAGTTATTGTATTTGCAATTTAAAAGACTATATTGGAGAAAGATCTATGCAGCAAAAACTTCGGGATTTTGGGTTAGCAAATTGAAGTGAAACAAATTAACTAGGGAGAAGATGGAACACTTGCCAGCAGAATTGGCCCACGTAAAGTGTTCAGGTAACTGGGGAGCTCTGCAATATACAGCAAGAACAAAAATGTAGAGGGAAGGATTACAGCAAAAGAACCCTCTCCCCTCTCAATCCAAACACTTCCCTTATTTTTCCTCTCTGATTGTCTTTTGCACCACTCCCTACTAACAGATCACCACGAAAATATGTTGAATGTTTAGGGAAAGATAAGTGCCTTTTGTTTTGCTTAAGTGTTATTGAGATAGTTTGACTCCAGGTTTAATTTCCCATTCAGAACAGAAAAAAAAATATTGTTTACTGAATTGTATTTATTTTTTCTTCTGACTGGCAAACTACTGAGTTGAATGTTTGGCTTAAAGGTCAACCTTTCAAGTTTATGGACCATGTGTACGTAATTCATACTTCAAGTAAATAACCCTCAAAAGGATGGTAGAAGACCCTCCTTCAGAGCAAAAGCACAAATCCCTGAATTCAACTCCAATAACACTTTGCTGAAACTACAACAATTCACACAAATCTTCCCATTGTTGTGGATCTCCTTTCTACTTATTCCAGTCATGTTCAAATTTTTCTCACAAATCGGAATAACCAGCCACTTTTTGCTGTTGCCCCAATTTTCACACGGACTAATCAAATACTCTCTTGCAGCCCAAATTTTGGTCATACATCATAGCAAGAAAACATAGTAAATTGACATCATGGCATTTACCTCCTTACAATAAACTGCAAAGGTCCCTTTTTGAAATTAGTTTGGTAGGCCAAATGATAATACTTACGGTAATTTTCAGGTTTTCTTTCACCTCTTTGGATGTGACAAGCTGAACATTTCCATCTTCATAATAGTGAACCTGGATTTTTTTTAGGAACAAGAAAATTAAACTCTATGTTAACATAATTTTAAATTCTATACTGTCCAGTGTTGGCAAAGTGATAAATATGTAAACATCAGGAATAGGCATTCTCTAAAACCATTTTTTTTTGTAATCCAATCTGTTGCTTTTTCTTTGCTGAATTTTCGGTGGCCTCTATCCACCTTCATCAGAGTTGGGGGTGGACAGAGGCCACCAAAAATTCAGTAAAGAAAAAGCAACAGATCAGATTATACAAAAAAGTTTTAGAAAATGTCTATCACCGATCCCAACACTGGAAGCATCAGGAATAGGGTTTATTTTGAACTCATTGAAAATCAGATCTTAACTATAACTCTGATGATGAAGACCACATGATTTAGAAACAATATCTACAGGTACTATCTTGTTTGGTTTCTGGGTAAATATCAAAACCTCCCTAAACCCAAAAACCCTGCAAAAAATAAAGCATGACTTGGAAAAATAACTAGCCACCTACACTCCACAAATAACCAAATGAGTAGGTCTGCCTAAGTGTACATCAAAGTGCTCTGAATGGGCTCCAGAGAGGAGACCTATTCCCAAACCGATAACGGCATTGATAAGAATGTGACAAAGTCGAATTCGAGACAATGAAGGAAAGGTCCTTAGGACTTGTATGACTCCATTATATTCTGAAAATAACACAAGTAAATTCACTGGAATCACGTGTATAATAGTCCCACAACTCAAGCAAAAATAGCAGTGAAACTTCAGCACTGTTACAAAATTACAGGTAAACAAAAGGTTAAAACTGTTCTTACTGAGAACCAATGATAGTCCAAGGGGACAGTATTCAAGGGGAAAAAACTCCCTTAAACTGTGTTTACAAGTACTAGTAGATTGCACAAGGAAAACATGTTTACAACAACTCTGCCGGAGATTTTGGCTCTTGAATGTTAGCCAAGGGAAACCGCTGAAACAGAAACTCAATGTCTTGAGCGCAGACCTCAACAAGCTCTGTGAGCAAACTCATGACTTTCTCAGTGAATGATTGAAATGACAAAAGAAACTTCGTTATTATTGCCGCAGACTCCGCAGCACTCGCTGATCTCATCAGCCAATGAGGTGACTGTGGGATATAATTTCGGACAAGTAAAGATCTCTACCTTCAATAATTCTTGTTGAAACGCTCCTCAGTTGTGTTACTCGATAGCATTGTGTATTAGTTTGACGTAGTTTTATTGTTAACACCAATGCTGGCAACAGAATAAGAGCACACTCTTCTGTGACTCAATGTGACTGGTTGATAATTAGATTAGTTCTTGTTTATCAGTGAAATGAAAATTTGCATTTTGAATAAAACAAAATTGTTCCTCTTTGACTACTTTTATTTTCCATTTATCTCCAGCAGTGAGTAAAAAAAATACACATCTTTCTTATGTTTTCGTGGAAACAAAGGTACCTTGCTGCACACATTGACGAGGAAAACAAAAGTATCAAGTTACACGCATTGGCATGAAAAGTACAATTGTCACATTTGCTGCAATGACTTCTATAACTGTCTTGACAAACGGTAATTATAAGCTATTTTTGGGCCTTGAAAGAAAACACAAACATGAAACATACACACTGCTAAGATTATGTCTTATCAAGTTTTTGTCCGCTCATATTCTGCTCATATTAGTTGACTACCAAGGGAGAGAACGGCATGAGTGAGGACCTATGTGACTACTGTATCAGAGCTGTAAATTACACTCTGCACTATCTGAGATTGTCTCACTAGTTTTCCAATTTTATGGACATATCTCATTCTCTTAATAGCTTTTTTCCTCTTAAATCTGCATAGAAACATAATACCGGTAACTGGAGGCTGACTAGGAAACCCTTGGTTACTCCAGTCTCCAGAATCATATAGGACACTTTTTTCTTTGTCTTTACATTTCACTGATATAAAAAACTGTAAATGTACAAGTAAATAAAGTTACTGTTGTTCCAGATTGATGCATTGATTGATGCAGTCTTTGATCTTACACTGTGTTACACTGAGTTACAAAAGGGTTAATAATTAACTGTTATTGCACAACATATTAGAACCTGCTTAGAGCGGTCACCCTGTATTAAGTGGACACTAGTGAGGGTCCAAGGGCGTCTACAGGTTTCACTGTATGAGGTCTTGCCCTATCTCTTTTCCTCTCACAGACACTATGAAATAATCTCTTATGGCAAGAATTTTTGACTGCCATGGTTGACTCCACTTGTCAATGCTTTCTTGGATTTTGCAGATGAGAATGAAATGATCTGCCAGACTTTTTCAAAACTCATGATAGTAATCTTAAAGTAACTGCTAGTTGTGTACCAGTCACTTTCCTGGATGTTTCCCATCAGCAAAGTTTTGTTTCCTTACCTAAACTCTCTGATTTTTAAATTCTAATTTTTTTTAGAACACTGACTTTCCCTACCTGTACTTTGAGGACTCCTGTGACCTCTACATTTCCTCCCGAGGGCTGAAATGACACAGACCACTCTGAGCGCCATCTGCCATTCCTGTGAAAATTAACCAAAATATCACAATAATATTTATCATGACTTAATAATGTAGATGGACAAAAAGGAACCAAAGGACCCTTGGAGCCAGCTCATTCATGTAATGGCTACTTTGGTTAAGAAATATTGGTACAGTTGAACCCCATTGATTGGAACCCTCAAGGGAAACAACAGTTTGAAATAGTAGGGGTTCAACTTTGAATAGATATCACTATTCTTGAGAAAATATCTATATTCCTCATGGGGATAGGAAATCAGACAGTCCCGTCTGTAGGGGGGATGGGCATTATCTGGGATCACATATGGTTGCTCCATTCCCCTGAACACCGAAACCTCAAAAATCATTTTTAACTACTTGTCATTGACAGAAACTTTGGGAACATGAAAGGTCAGGTTTTTGCACTTGAATCTCCGGAATGGTTTGAGTAAACAATGTGACCTATGATTGGTTGATGGTTGCCTTTGGAAACCATTGATCAATCATAGCTCACATTTTACATACGAGCCATCACAGAAATGCTAAAAGTAAAGTCTGCATACAAGCCGAGTGGACCATCAGGCTGGAGCTTAGCCCAGTTGCTACATAGCATGAACCAGCTAGGAGTATTTCTACTACCCCCCTGGATCATTGGAAAGCTAGTCCTTTCCAGGGTTACCCCCAGCATTACGTTCACCACTACCCATTTATACACCAGGGTGGAGAGAGGTACTGTGAGAGTAAAGTGTCTTGCCCAAGAACACAAGACAATGTCCCTGACCAAGGCTCAAAACTGCACGCTCAATCCGGAGATGAAATATAGAGCATAGAGCATTTTGTTATATTTCATTATATAGAGCATTTCTTGGCATAAATTAACATGGGAATGTTAATACGGCCAAGTGGATAACAAGTTTGCCTTGAAATCCAGCCATTCAAGTCAGGCCAAGGTTTGAACCCCAGTCAGTGCGTTGCTTTCTTTCTTCTTGCACCATTATTTCCGGTTGACATCAGCATAAATTAATCAACATTTAATTTCTGCCTACATAGATTAAAAGTCCATGCAGCTTCCCGGATGAAGCCACCATCGCTAAAACTCATTCATTGCACAAGCGCATGAATGAGTTTAAAAGTTAGTCGCCAGTGAAAAAAATCCAGTCGCATTGGCAACCCCAGCAGTCACAACATCAAGCTCTGAAGGGGAGAGGGGTAGCACGTGAATTACTTCTGTTCCCAGCCTACAACTTCCATCCAGATCTGATCCCTCACTAAACCTCATTCACTGTGTTTCACACATGAATGAGCTAAAACTAGGAGAGCTAAAAATAGGCATGAATGGGCACAATTGGAAAAATTTACACCAATTACTTGTAAAACAACTTTTTCCAAGTTAATATCAATTTATAAGAAAGTGCTATTAAAAATGTTTGGTAATCACCCTTCTTTGGTATTAAAGACTGCTGCTCAGTCAACTACAGTTGGCAAGATAAACACAAAGAATACAATTTACAAAGGATAGATAAAACTTATTGTAACATGTTTCCTAATATTATTTTGATCACTGATAGGCAAAATACCATCATTATAAAGACAGCTGGTCAAGCAAACCACAGATATTTGTTACTTGCGTAACTCTGTCCTGGAAATAATTTTTCTTTCTTCCCAGGGCAAGACAGTGTGCTTTCACATTAAATACTGTGTACTTTTCCTTAACTTCAGTGGCTTGCACCCTTTGTTTTGAAAGAAACCTGACTGGATACTAACTAGGTACATGTACTAACGGTGTGTTATGTAGAGAACATATACCTTGCTCATTTCTAAGCAAAATAAAAATTGTCGCTCTCTTGGTTTGAGATGAAAAAGCTTCTAACACTTTTCAAAATGTTTCTAGCAAATCTGGGCAAAAACAAAGTAAACTGTTTAAAACTCAAAACAAAAGACAGAGATATCCCCAACTGTCCCAATATAGTGAACACTGATCCCAATGAGAGATGGTAAAGACAATGTTATTTGTCCAAGAGAGTGTTTATCCATATATTGTTAAGCTACTACAAAAGTGTAAGTTTCTTCAAACATCACACTAAAAAATACTTCAATGCTAAAGCCTTGGCAGCTCTTACCAAAAATTTTGAGGTTGAAACTGATGATCCTCTATACAAGCAATCACTGTGACTGTCCCACCAGAGCTACTTCCATAAACCTAAACAGGCATGAATAACAAAATCTAATATCAATGACACAAGTTGGGACTATAAGTAGTCCAACCCCCTAGATATTCTGGGATATCTGCCACATGACAGACCATGACACAAGGATATCATACTATTTAGCCATTAAGGTATCCAGGGTTCATACCCTTTTTCAGAAACAAATTTCCAGGATTTTTCCAGGACTTTTCCAGGACTCAGATTGATTTTTCCAGGACTCTAAAATTCACATTAACTCTTTCACTCCCAAGATCTTAATGTTAATTCTCCTTACTGTCTTCCATACATTTCATATTTTTTTACTTGGGTTTAACAGATTTCCAGAACTTTCCAGGACCAGTAGCCCTTTTCCAGGACTTTCCAGTTCTGGAAAATGCCACAATTAAATTCCAGGACTTTCCAGGTTTTCCAGGACCCATACGAACCCTGGGTATCCCTCTTGAATTCAGGCTGCAGATAACACTTTAGACACTACAGTATGTTGAGAAATCTCCAACGTCTGTCATTACAGAATCATGACAATTAAAAAACATCGCCCAAGAAAAGTGGGGTACCCATGACAACCTGTGAATGAGGCTGGAAAGGCGACCGCTGGTTTTGGTCTCTTAAGATCCTTTAGTGACGAATTCCCAAAAAGAAGTTAAAAGTTCTCCCCTGGTGTCCTTTAAAACAATACAGATATAGCTTGAGCAATATTAGTGTTGTTTGAAAGTAATGAACTGCTTCTTTCACCTTTAAAGGCCACTTGTACATACACTGCATCAACAGAATGTGGAGTGTTTATGCAAAACCATGTGAGTAATCTTTCACGGCAAAGTATCGAAGCGACATACCCCTTGGGAAAATTCAGTCATCTCTTCATGTTTTTATCACATTCAAGTCATTGTGTTTAGTAAAATAATAATTATAATTTATAACCTTTATTTACACGCAGTCAACGCTTTTATGGCCTGTTTGCAGTGTCGCCATCAAAAATAAAAATCATAGCCATTCAATAAATTAAGTCAAGAAGATGATTGATGTATAAACAACCTCACCAAGATTTAGGTCCGTGCAGATTTCCATTCATACGTCATTCAGAAAAGTGTTTCACTCAAATTTATAGAGCTTTGTCAAGAGTCACAATGTTTGTGCCCTTCTGAGGGACACAAACATGGCGGCCGTAAAGTAACAGAAACGCCTATCATTAAGTTTTGCCACTGAAACGAAAAGTAATAAGTCTAGAGTTCCGACACATTAAAATTAATACTTCTTCTAGAGCAAGAACTGTTTAGTTGGCAAAAACTTGAGCATAACCCATCTTTTTGACTACTTGAGAGCCTTATCTGGCTGCCCTTTTAATGTCACACAACGTATTAACTTGGAATTCAGACATGCTCTATTACATACTGAGGAACCCTGTCGGACTTAAATGTTGAAACATCAAGTTCTTAGAGGGTCTTACATCTGATGAAACTAACACTTCAGAGGGATTGGTAATTTCTTATTTTGGAAAATGATGATGTCACATGAAAACCGGCAAATACAAAGTCTAGAAGAGCCAAGCACTTTAGTTTCAGAAACCAGTCATTCAAATACGAAATAATTAGGTTTACACCCCAACTGCCAGGAGGTACACCAGATGCTATTGCAAGTGTGACAGAGGATTTGAACTCAAGTCTACCAACACTTGAACCCAAAGACCTCTAGATTTTAAGTCTGGTGCCCTATCCACTTGGTCACCCTGACTTTGTGTAACAACTGAGCAATGGAAAAGCAGATTTCTCATTCCTTAATCTAATAGCTTCAATCTCCATTAGGTATATGTACATTCATGAATTCAAAATTAGTTCTACCTTCAAAAGGCTACAATAATTCTTCATAAGTACAAAAAAAGACATACTGTGCAAACTCCATGGGGGTAGTGGTCTCTAACATATCCTGTTACACAGTCTTGAATAGCCTCCCTCCAAGCTTCAGCTGTTGAATTAGATTCATGTTCACCAGGGTCACTTGCTTCCTACAACATGTCACATTGACAACATCAAAATTCCACTAAATGCTAATTTGATACAATAACAGTATATCTGCAAAGACATTTCTTCTGTCTGTTCCTTAAGTTTAGAGTTTCAAAGTCTTGAATTCAAAATTTCAACCCAATGCAAAAGTCAAAAAAGACCTCTTAGGTCATAGCTGTTCATTGCTGGGAGACGATGGCACCAGTTACCTCCTTATCCAGTCTTGTGAATGGGGTGTTGACATTCAAACAAAAAAATAGTGTGAAATCTGTGAACCAATACCTACATAACATACTTTGTTGCTCTTGTAGCATCATAGGGGCTCAACCAAGCATGCCACTTGATTGTAAACTCAAAGCCAGCATTGTGTAAAGTTTTAAAGTCAATCGTTAAAGCGCAGTTAATGGAGCGTGATGCTATTTACGTACAGTCTCTAGCTTACTATTGTTAAATGTAACGCAATAGAACTGTTACGCCTTAGAACATTATATAAGTCTTTCTTGTCTACTTTAAACAATATTCACAATAGCCTTTCACGCATGCATGTCACAACATCTGGTTTAACTATATCATGTGTTTTGTATGGCTAGTCTTTTAAATAGCCCTATTCTTGTTTCGTTCAAGGCCGCATGGGCTCGGTACCTTTCATGGTACACAAATTTATACTGGTCTAAACCCAGACATTTGTCTACCTATAAAAAAGTCTTAGCTTGGACTTTAACATCATTTGCTTGTTATATCACTACTGTAACTTTTAGTTAACCCTCGAAATTGTAACTCCCACCCTTCCCTCCCTTTGGAGGTTTATTGTTGTTGCTCATTATATTAATAATAAACTGGGGTTCACCTCTCATGACACGCTTTAGGTTAAGTCTTGGACCGACTTCCCCAAGCTTCGTTTTCACTAATTTAGTGGCACTATTTAATGCTCTTTTATGCCTCTTCTTGTCCGATCCAGCACGTGCCAGTGGAGTCAGCTCATAGTGCTGGGGAGATAAGTAAGGCTTGAGAACTGTCTACACTCTAGCATGATGCTGAGCGGAGGTCAGCTCGTAGTGCCATTTAGAGTTAGGCTTCTAGGACGCGTAAGCTTTTGGCCTCGCCGACTTGTCCGATCCAGTGCAGAATTGACCGCTGGCGAGATAAATTTGGCATTTGGTCATGCAATGGAAGTTCGTCTGTCACGCCGATTGCGGAGTGGTGTTCCCCCATTTATGCCATCGAACGAATGCTTATTGTTTGTGATTGTTGGGGTATTTAAAGCATTACTCCCTAGGAACTGCAACATTAAACAGTTTTTACACGGCAAAGGTTTTTTATTTCACTAAAAACTAATTTTGAAACTGATCTTATCTTATCTCTTATCTTATAAAAACTTTACAAACTTAATGTTCAGCACTTTCCTAATAAGCTTGAAACAGATTTTTAATCTACACTGGACATTGGTATGACAGGTGCAATCACTGCTAATTTATACAAGTTGGGAAATATGTGTTGCAACGATGGCTACTGAACCAGAGCAGTCAACAACTATTTGCCGTCTTTGCCTTTTAACTCAGCCTTTGCCTGAACAATGTTCACAAAGCTTTGCTACTCATCAAAAGTTGCCTGGTGCTCCACAACAGTCTGATAGTGTTTAATCAGTTCCTCAATGTACTCCTCACCATCACCCGGAAAGTATTAAATAGCCCAAGTGGTGGAATCAATTACTGAAAATGCTTCTAGACGATTAGAAACAGGGAATCCGTCCTTCACATGTTTGCAAACGTTTGGCAAATATTTATTGTACACATTATGCTTGAAGTCATCCTTAGACGACCTTCTGATGTCCTTTAGTTCATTGCTAATGACAACAGCTGTTAAACCACGTTGAGCTTCCATGTTAACTGCAACATTGTGGTGATTTGTCTTTTCCTGCTCTTTTAATGCTACCTGTTTGTAGTTAAAACACAGAACATCCACCCAAATGACACATCTTTGCCTTACTCTTTTGGCCCTTTGGTTGTGTTTTCTCCACAACTTGCACAACATACCACTGTCACTATCATCATCTTCATTAGTCTTTTGGAGCCAAGAGAAGTTCTTCAGCCATATTGGATCGAAACCTGATTTTCGGTGTTTCGAATCAGTCGATGTTGACAGACCTTGTGTCGTTTGCAGTGGCTGCACTTCTTCTTCCAAATTACTACCACTCTTATGTCTCTTTTCCAGGGTAAAAAAGAAACTTAATTTGCTTTGAGAAGCTTTTCATTTCTGCTCCGCCATTTTGACAACCTTCCACATGTGGGAATTTTGTTTACTATTCCATGTAATATCACTTGAATTTGTGGCAAATTGAAAGCTGGCTGCCGTTCAATGAAACGAGCAGACGGCAGGTTTCACGGAAGGGTAAATAATCTAAAATCTTATCAATTGCGAGAAAACACAAGGAAAAGACACCGGGCAATGTTTCAACATTGTTATTGAGTGTTTTTTTTTGTCTCTTTACTTACTGACAGGAATTCATCCAGTTCCAGATGTTAAACTATGTAAAGTTTCTTCAGTTTTAAGCCACCTGGGCGGCAACAATTTTTCAAGGAATCAAGCCAGGCAGCCCGCCTGGCTTAAAATACCTGAGAAGAACACTGCAGATTTAGAGGGATCAGGCAGCTGCTCAACATACCACTCAGTAATGGACATGAGTGAGGGAAAGAGATGCATTTAATCTGAACATGCTCAGACTGCTATTTTATCCATACCAACATAGATACAGTACTGATCAGAAGAAACCTAACAAGGAACGCTTGACAGAATGCATTCTGTTGACGTTCCACAAAACAAAATAGACACAAGCTGATTCGTTCTGTAATTTTCTCAAGATTTGCCAGGCCGGACAAACATTGGACGAACATGTATTTAAAGTTTTCCAAACCCCTGGTAAACAATCTGACAGAGTGACTTACTAGCATGCATTCTGAAGAACACGTTCCCTTGTAGTTTACATTCTAGAGAACACTTTTTTCCATTTTTGTGATCCATTACCATTCCGTATCTGTTCCATTTCCATTCCATTTCTGTTCCATTTCTGTTCATTACCCATTCCGATCACGTTCTCGTACCTGTTCAGAACCCGTTCTATACCGTTCGCAAACGTGTTCCCTGTTAGGTTTCTTCTGAGCAGTACTGTAAAATGTGTTCTAAACAAATGTAATACACCAGATGAATCTATTTTGATTTAGGTGTCATACATAATGTGCATATTGTGGGTTACAGAGATTAGTGTTTTCTCAAACAAACATTTTAATACATTTATTTAATTACAATAAAAATAGAGTACACACACCTTATCACATGCTTTCTGAATAATTGTGAAATTAGATACAAATATTTATAATTTGTTCTCACCTTCCGTAGGTGGTCATATTGAAAGCTCTTTTTACTTCTGGGATCAAAAAACCTCCCATCAGCAAGTTCACCATGCCTGGTCACTAACACCTTCAAAAATATTCACAACGCAAATGAATATGATTTAATTAGAGTAAACACTACATTTACTATAATGTTAAATTTTCTACTGCACATAAATCCCACTTGAGTGCTATTTTTGACCCACTGTCTGGGTTGAACTTAATTTCATGGAGTTGAATTGCAAAAATTTTTGCCTACAAGTCTGTGTACAGATTTCCAACATGCGTCCTATTACATCACCATAAAAGAGAAGTAAATCCAATGCTCAAAAAAAGTCCAGTCTGGTTGTCCAGGACAAGTAGGTTTTCCCACCGGGCACATAACTTTTCATTCTCATTTACGCAACAGGCAAGGGCCCAGGCAAGTCATGTGCCAACTTTATGAAAAAACAAGTAAACTAAGACTAGCCCAGCCAGACAAGCTGGAAAAGTTAAGGTCTTTTTAGTCCTGTAAATCAAGAGTTTGTTAGAGCAGAACTTTGAAGGCTAGTGCATGGCAACCACAAATTCACATAGGGGAGTTTGTGTAGGCCTGTCAAAACACCTTTTCAATCTGTTACACTTGTCCACCACAAATTATCTCCTCATAAAGAATAGTTTTTGATTTCAAGCCATTCATTCTGGTACCGTCTCTACTTAACAGAAGACAAACCATAGCAGTTCTCTTACAACAGATCTGACATTGATGCTCTTCAGTTCCAAATCTGTAGAGTTTTGGAACTGAAATCAATGCCTCTCGGCCCTCTCCTGTTCTTGCTTCAGAATAATTTTCCTCCTTTCTCTACACATTTTTGGTGAATCGAAAGCTTTCTCCGTGTTTTCTGTAGCAATCTCAATTCTGCAAATCTGCACATCAACACAAAAAAAATGTGTTCTCTCGGGTTAGATGAGAGGTATCGAAAAACATTTGATTGACATTTCATCACTCTCAGCCAATTTGAAATTCCTATGCACTAGTAAATGCACAATTTAAAAAGACCCCTGAATTAGGGCAGACAGGAATTAAACTGGGCTCTTAACCAATCCACTTGCTACTTCACTACTCACTTCTTCATCTTTGCTGCACAAAAGCACATGCAAAAAATCTGGCCAACTATGCAGGCTACAAACAATAAACATGAACGAATTAAAAGTAAAACTTGGGTATATGAAGCCTTCATAAACTTTACTCACTTGTTCATCTGCACCTTCAAGTTTTACTGGAGTGAACTGTTCTTTGTTGTAATCAGAGAACGCACTGCCATAAAAACAAAAACAGCAACAATGAGAAAGCCCTTAATGACTTGTGTGTTTATTTTACCTACAACTCTCTTTGTTTAGACCACACTGAACAGCCCACATCACCTGATCAATTGAAGGATTTACTAAAACAATACCTTTTTCCATTAATTCTTGTTTTGCAGGCAAACCTGTCTAACAGAGACACCAAAAGGGGTGGATCTAAGTCTCCTTAACGTGGAGGTGACCCCATGATAGATAATGGTACCGGTAATAGAACTAAGTGGAGTCCAATTCGGTCTGTGAGCATACAATTGATTAACAAAATCAGATGACCCACAAAGCGGGAGTCCCATTTGTTAACCATGAGTATGACTACAGACTGAATTGGATGACAAGATGTCCAGTTACCAATTTATCATAGCCATTACAATTTCCCACAAAAGTAAAACTTTCAATTGAAAAAGAGCTTTTAATATTCATTTTAACTATCATAATTAAAAATGTGTAGTTCCAGAAAATATCCATACCCCCCCAGGGAGGGTCACAGAAATTCCTAGGGGTAGAGGGGTCTGAAAGAGGTAAATTTCCGAAGGGGAGGGGGGCTACTCAAGGAGTTTTCTTTCCAGTGGGTCTGAAATGTGATTGAATGATCACTACTGTATTTTCCCCATTGATTCAGGTAACCAAACCAACAGAAATGTTACATCCGTTGAGAAATAAATGTTAGATTCTTTGTCATATATTTTCCATTTTCCTTCCGATGTCGTACGACAGACAGCAGTCGTGAGTATTGTGTTTGTTGGACATCATGTTAAACAAAATGCCGATGAAGAGGTGCAGCAATACATGGACAATGACGTTGATGATATTTTATACTTTGAAGATTGTGCTGTATTTAGCTTAAATGCAGCTCAGATGCTTTTTCCAGCATTAATCGTGCTGTCAATTAAATGCTATTTGTACTTTGTTTATTTCGTTTGATACTCTTACAAAATTATTCCCTGTTTCGGACTTGCCATAACTAGGTTATCACATATTTTTCATCGTTATCAGTGTAGTTAATAGTTTGCTTTAAGTGAGCAAACTTGATTCAAAGCCATTTGTCTTGAACTATCTTTGTAAATGTGGACAGTAAGGAGCATTGTAATTGGAGCAGTAGCCGAGATTTCATTCGGTCCTTTATAGACCGACTGAACAATGCGTGTTTCATGTATGAAATGTATGACAATTCAAAAAACTAAGGCATAAAATGAATTTACTATCATTTACAAACAACAGAGCCAAAGCGTATGACTTAATTGATGTATTCCTTTGGAGAAAGGAAAAAAAAAGTGACATTTGGGAAACAGCTGTTTTGAAAAAAATGTTGTGTGACGACTTCACTGCGTGTGTAAAGTAATTCGATATGTTGTTTTGACCATGCATAAATTAAAACTTCGACTCAGATATTTGAAAGAGCTTTATGTACATTCCGAGATTCTTATATGAAAACTTCCTTTAATGAAGAAAAAGTCCGCTGCTATGCCATTTGGGAGTGAAGCGCTTCTAAGTCAGTTGTTTATTAGTTTAAACACCGGTTCAAACATTTTAACATGACATGAAAGAATGCACCGCGTCTGCAGTCTACCGTGAAAAGGTACGTCTTTGTCTACAATGTAACTATAAACAGCTGCGGCTAAATTTTACTACAATTAATGAGTTAAGTCTTGTTTTGTATGGATACGGAATTTCCAAGGGGTGGGGAGGGGGCCCACGTAGAACAATCATAGAAATTCCAGGGGGTAGGGGAGTACTGTGAAGCCCCCTGGAACAGAAAATCCTGGGGGGTGGGTGGTCAAACTGGAAAAAACCTTCCTNGGGGGGGGGGGGGGTATGGATATTTTCTGGAACCACACAATATGGAGAAGAGCTTGCAAAATGGCTGTCAAGTTTCTTTCAAAAACGTAACTGAAAACTAACCCTCCACAATTTTACAAAGTTAGTCTCTTGAATTGGCTACTATAGTGCTGTAATCAATATTGTGATTGGTGGATTTAGTGGAGAGGACTTAAAATGATTAGCTCATATAACTGTCTGATGAAAGGTGTTCAATTACAGCCAACTGTCCGATTACACTGTCAAATTACAACTTTGCAGATTAATTAGAGCAAAACACAGCAGTTTATGCACCAATAACAATTGAGGAAATTGTAATTGCTATGATTAAGGAAGAAATGATATTAATCTGATTTCCCTGGGACAAAGTCAACAGTCCATAATATACATTCAGGTGTCTGTATTATGGTGGTGTCTGTATGGCGAGGTTTGACTTTCTGTTGATCATGACAAACTCACTACTCACTGCCTTGTTTGTTAGTCATCACCTCATATCCAATGTAGAGGGGGATATTGGGGAGGGGGGGGTCTGAACACCGCAATACCACAAACAAAATTGGGCAAATGCCCCAATATTGCAAATAAAATCGCAAAATACCGCAACACTTCAATCGGCTGAGTCGAAATTCAATGTCATACTGAAACCACTACTCTGTATGTCAAGTTTAGAGCAAATAACATGGAAATAGCAATTAGGAATTTGCAAATTTTGATTTAGACAAAATGGACAAAATAAATAACTCAATTGCATACTGGCTGATAATTAACAAAAAATTACTTACACTTTTCCAATGGGAAACTGGAAAAGGCTCAGTTAAACGTTGAAGTACTTGGAGGATAATTTTAAATATCGTCCAAAATGTTAAAAAACCGTATCCCGCAGGTTTGGAGAATACCGCAATACCACAATTCGAAATTATAATTACCGAAATACCTTAAGAAAAATTGTCCAATACTGCAATACTGCAATACCGCAAAACCCCAACGTCCCCCTCAATGTAGGCTCAGTGAAATAAAGAAGTTACCAAAACCTCAGCAATATTGCTGTAAGCCCCAAACTAAAGATCCTTTGCATAAATGGTGCCTAAATTTGAATGACAACAGTTTGTACATCCTTAGCCTCGTACTCATGTTTTAAGACAAAGGATTTTTTTTTACATGAATATGAGGCTAAGGATGTATAAGTATTGTTATTTCAATGTAGGTGCCATTTATGCCAAGGGTCTATACCTGTCACTTTAAATTAAACTGGAACCAGGTTAACTTATGGTGAAAATTATATCTCATGGAAAAGTCAAACACAGCACTCCTGAGCCCTTATTTTATATTTTTTCTAGGATGTGGGAATGCTTTAGGGCCCACTACAAGCCTGCACCTCTCGCCCCTTATTGGCCCTTAATTGAAAATGATACAACAGTCTTCATGCACAATACACCAACCCTGCAGCTTCCTCCTTCAGCAGCTGGTCATTATTCAACAAAATGCGAACGTCTGCGACAAAGAGGAAATTCAACAGTAAGGGAAAAAAATCGAATTTTAAAGAAACATATCGATATTCATCAACCCTACCGTTGAACACTTCGTTGAATTCTCCAGGTGGGGCGTGTTTGATAAAATTAGAAGCTATCTTCGCCTGAGTTATGGAAACATAGTGATTCAATTAGCACTGAAACTTTTAAGTACAACTTGATATTTGTAAATTAATGTTTATACTCCTAACCTTCTCTTTATCTGATATGGGTTCTTCGTAATCGCCCATTTCCCACAGAAGTATTTTATATAGTAAAGAACAACTCGAAGTTCAAGATGGCTGCAAAAGCAATCCAATGTCGCTTGGCCTTACGGGATCCCTCACGGAAATGGCCAAATTTGGTCAGAAACTGACGTTTGAGCCAGCAATATGCTGTACTCATTGTTAGCGGTTAGGCCTTGAATGACGTCATTTCACAAGCCCGTCAAAGACGTAAGACGTACAAAAGTCAATCCGATCTCTTTCCGTAGAAACTGAAAGTAAATGTCCTCTATATCCACAAACATTCTACAAGATCGCGAAGCCATTCGCGTCAAAGCACTGGTAAGTTGAAACAGATTAACAAGGTCGTACACATAGCCCAAAAAGAGTCGGATGGTCTTTTGCTTTTCAACCCTAGGTAATCATTAATTCATGGTCATTGTTTCCCTTTGCTTGAAGCTTATAAATTTCTTTCAGTTATGCGATGGCACATGTGTAGATGAAGGCATGAAAAGGTGTTTTTCCGTTGATCCACATATCACGTCATTTAGCAATTTACATCATTTATTGAAGCGAGCCTTCCAGTTACAAGGGTAAGCCACAGCCGGCCTTCTATAGAACTAGTATTGTAAACATGGTACGGCATAGTAATTGATTTTAAGCTATATATACTACTTTATCTTTAATTTATAAACTTAAAATGCATTTTGACGAAGGGGAGCACTTGCTAATCTGGTAGGATCCTATGATCTTGTGGGTGTCCTGTGTATGCTTAGGTGAAATGTTTCACAAAATTTTCACTTGTTAGTCATCATATTTGTTGTGTAATGATATTACATAGTTGTGAAGTAATCATGTGTATGGTGACCTGGAACACACAGAAAAATGCCAGATCGTGTGCACTAAAGGAACCTGTGGTCAAGTGGGGATTGATAATCTTGATCAATACCACTGATCAATTTATCAATCAATACTCTATTGATAAACCGACTCATATGCATTGATTGAAAATTCGTCAACTCCCAAATGAGTGTCGACCAAGATATCGATCGAGTGTTGATCGAGTGTCAACCAAGGTGTTGATGGAGTGTTGTTTGAGTATCAATCAAGTGTCGATCAAGTGTTGATCGAGTATCAGTCAAGGGTATCGATCGACACTCAACTGTGGATGCCCTTAGTACACATGATCCAAAATGCCTGGGGTAGGAGAGTCAGAATGTTTTAGTGCCTTAGGGACATTCATGTTTAAGTCTTCTAAAACATAGACTTTTTTGCTTCACGAAATACTTGACGTATTTGTCGATGTTGAAATTGAAAAAAAAATAAATAAAACATGGAGAAATATTGAGCCATCAATCAAAAAATAGGGATTACTCAATGTGCAACATTGTTAAATTCTCACATGGTCAAGGGGGTGGTCAGTTTTCTAATTATTGCTCATTTTGTGTGTTTGATTCATGACATGGTTACATGATTATAAAATGAATTGGAATCTATGCGGTCCTATTACCACTTTAACCACTATCAAGTTGTCTTTACATGTATCTATCTATTGGGATGACCTACGAAATTGGGGTCAAAATATTATCTGAAGGAAACCAATCTATGGAAAATAACTTTTGGCTTGAGTTATTGGCAGGTTTAAGAAATTGATGGTTCAAGAAATCAGGATTCCACTGAACTTCACCCATGTTGCTTCAGAAAAACAACCCACGAGAGCTAAACAGAGAGAACTAATGATAGTTCTATAATAATCAATGTTACAGTCTAGAGTAGTTGTGCTCTCTTTCATCCCAGTCTATCTCCAAGGAGAACATACATAGTACAAATTAACAGGCATAAAGTCAAAACATTATGTTAAAAAATATATATTATGTTAAATATCTAACTGAAGTAGATATTTAATTAAATCATATAAAAAAGTCTTATTATTCTTGGATACCCTTTGTACTTTTATAGAACATTTAGAATTTTACATTTACAGAATGTCTATATTGATGGCCACAAGCCCAACTATGACTGCTTGTGGCACTAATGATATTTTTTGGTTACTGTGTTTCTAACCTGTTTCATTTTTTTGTATTTATTTAGTGACTTTGAAATATCATATCAACTCCCACAGTCGACAGAAAATGGAAAGAGACCCAATGTGTTCATTTCTCTCACATCAGACTTTGATCTTGATGCTGCCTTCATGAGTTCCTCTTTACCATATCTGAGCCTTAAAATAGAACCTGTTATTTGCTCAGGTAATTATTATTGAAGTGGCTGAACACTTTTTTTTCTGAATAATTTACTTGCCACATTTCATGAAATTCTAAGAAGACCTCTAGCCTGGGCATCCATGGGTGTCTAAGCATCTTGGGTATACCCACTTTTTAAATAAAATTGTTTTATTTTTCACATAATTATTTGTTTATGAATTGTTTATATGAGCAGACCCTATAGCACATTTTGGATGCCCACTTTTCAATCCTGGCAAAAAGCCTGATTCTAAGCAATGGTTCCTTAGAAATAGGTATGTTCCCAAAAAATGCAGGGTTTAGTTCTCTGCATCTTGACCTTTTCTGGTATAACTTTCTAACAACAGACCAAAACTTATAACACACTGTTCCATGTATGAATAATACAAGTACAGATAGTGATGGCATAGAGCAAATAAAGTGAACACTGTATCAGGGTCACATTTGTGTTTTGCAATTCTTGTGCGCACTCTACCTTGTGTTATGGAAAAGGATGGAAAAGCCAAGTCAGTAGTTTCAAAGACAGAAAAAATGTTTCTCAGTTTGAAGTTCTCCATGATAAGCCTGTAAATTCATTTAATTTGTAGCACTCCTAAATAATTTTTGGCAGAGAGATTTTAATATTTTTTCTAAATCAGAATGACAGTAACAAAATATCCACTTATTCACTGCTAACAGGTTACTTTTTTAAAGATGTGTATGTTTTATTTTCCAAAAGATAATCATAATGACTGGACTTTTCTGGAGGCTACAGAAGCACCTCTGACCAACAATGTTCAATCCACTGGTGTGTCCTCCACTGTTCCATTTCATATATCATTAAAACATCAAATGGAACGAACATTCAACAAGATCACCAGAGCTTTCAGTGAATCAACCAGACGGGGGCCTTTAAAGGAGGTGGAATGGCACTGTCATTTGGACTGTGAAGGTCGCATACTTGCCATTGATGAGCTGTGGGCTAGAGTCTTTCAAGGAGGTGGTCTTGAACCTAGCTTACGTAAAGAAGTGTGGCCTCATCTCCTCAATGTATTTCCCCCTGATTTGACTAAGGATGAGAGAGAAAGACACTTGAAAATGAAATCACAGGTTTACTGTCATCTCAAGTCAAAATGGAAGGCTAAACATCCTCAAGAAATAGAATCCATCACACATTTAATAATGAAGGATGTTTTGAGAACAGATCGAACACATCCCTACTTTGCTGTCCCTGATGATCATCAGCACATGGATGCTTTATTTAACATCTTGACAACCTATGCCTTAGAAAATCCTGATGTATCTTATGCACAGGGGATGAGTGATCTGGCTGCACCTGTTCTAGTCATTTTAGATGAAGAAGCAGTTGCTTATACATGTTTCTGTGCTTTGATGGACAGGATAAAAGGACACTTCCTTTTAGATGGTAAAGCCATGACACTGAAATTTGATCATCTTTCCCAGCTGGTTCATCACATGGAACCAGAGTTTTTCAAGTATCTCATGAATATCGGAGCAGATGACATGTTCTTCTGCTATCGCTGGCTTCTTCTCGACTTGAAGAGGGAGTTTCCATTTAATGATGCTGTCCAATTAATGGACGTAATTTGGAGTTCTCTCACATCATCACCAGAATCAGGCACTCAGACATCAAAGCTCGATGTCACTGGTGGAATACCAACGGGTAACTCTGCTGACACCACTCTTATGCAGAATGGTTACATTGGTTTTGATTACAATTTGGATGTGGTTGATGATGACTCAGATAGTGATTTGGAGAACAGTGGATTCTGTCCATTAACAATGAAAGCGGTTGATCAAGAAACCAGACTGCTCCAGCTCCCAGGACCTTATCAGTTAGGTGGTGGTAATCCATTTGTTCTTTTCATGTGTTTGGCCATACTGTCACTTCACAAGGACTACTGCATGCAGAAAGAAATGGATTACAATACACTTGCTATGTACTTTGACAAATTGGTTCGAAAGCATGACCTAGCTAAAACATTGACTAAAGCAAGGGCCTTATATGCTGACTACCTAAGTTCATGTGGAGTTGCAAAGGATGAGGAGACACCCATCAGTGAAGAATCTAAAGCACCATGGTGCAGCCAGGAACATCATATTGATATCCCACTCCAAACAAACCATTTTGTTGAATGTTGATTAGCTATACTATCAAGATTAGCTATAGTTCGTATAGCATGATGGTTAGTGAGGGTAGTTCTAAAAAGAACTGTTGTTCATGACTGATTTTTCGACAACCTGAGCGGAAGTCATCTTAAGAGTCAAGTGAATAGTGTTTGTCAGTCAATGGTGTTGTAAGTCTGGTCCATTGAAAGTGATTGGTCAGTTTAGCCATAATGGTTTTGGCTGTAAGACTCGTGTAAAGTTTGTCAGCAGTCAGTAGTCGGTTTCAATCCATCTGTTGTCAGTCAAATCGGTCTGTTGAGGTCTATCTATTGTTAGTCAAATTAAGTCGTTCTGTTAGAAGTCCATTTGTTGGTTTCATTTACATGTACATCGTAAATAAGTCGTTTGTAGGGTGCTGGTAGTTGTTGACATCTGTTAAGAGGTGTTTGTTCTAAATTAGTGTACCAACCTTCCAGAGTCAGTCATTCTAGTGAAAATAGTTTGTACTATAGGTTAAGCATTGAGCAGAGTCCCAGTCCATGTTGTGGTTTGTCAGTTGATGATGTACAGCAATGTGATTGTTAGCATCAACATTTCTCGTTTCTCATTTGTGTCCAGTCAGTCTCATGTTAAGGTTTCTGCCAGTCTCACCAATGTACGAAGCCTGGCAGTAGGAGCATTTGTTTGATCTTGTAAACTGCTCCCTGTCTGTTTTTGGGTTCATCCCTGTCTTTAACATTGGTCAGTAAGTGTTGCAATGTAGTTGTAGGTTGTAGTTGTAGTTGGATGTTGTAGGGCTTAAGTTCCGTGAGATGGTCTCAGAAGTGCCCAGATTAATGTAAGATATAGTCAATGTGGTAACAGGTGTTGGGTTTCTGTTTATTGCATCAGCTTCAGTAGGTCGGTGAATGTTTCATCAAATAAAGTCGGTGCTGTAATTGTTCTTGTGAAAAACATGTTCAAGGTATCTGTTTTTGTCATGTAAGCTGTCCGGTGTGTCACAAACTTGTTGCACTTATCTCGTCAAAGGTTTGATGGTCAGGGCTTCATGTGAAGTCAGGTTGTAGGATGACTCGTCAAGTAATCTGTACACTGTCATTTGTAGTTAATTGTTGTCGTGGCGTACCAGCCAGTCTAGAAAAGGAAGTTAACATTTTCTTTTATTCACTTGACTCTGAAGATGACTTCCACTCAGGTTGTCAAAACATCAGTCACCAACAACAATTCTTTTCAGAACTACCCTCACCCGGACGATCACACGATACAAACTACTGATACTCCTGGGTTCCAACCATTTGCCAAGATTAGCTATGATCAACATACTTAGTTGAATTTGTTATCTAATGCAGCATGAACTACCGAGGAAAACATTTAACTTTAAGTTTCAAATATAACCAACTGAAAATATTAATTCTCCAATTTTAGAAGACAAAATTACTGCCGATGATATTATGTTCATAAAAACAGATCCTAGAACTGATTTAGAGAAATATTGGAAAGTTTTGGTTGAGTTGCCTTCAAAAAACCTAGTAAAAGTTTCACCCAGGCTTTGACTCGGAAAAAGCAGGTACTTATTACCTCCTGTGAGGGATGACAGAATAATTGATTATCACCCTAAGTGTCTGTTTTTTTCCAAAAAGTTGAATTGGATTCAAGATTAACTGGCTTAACTTTTGGATGGTTGCTACTTTCTGGATGACTATCAACTTATAAATTTTATTTTACACCAAATTTAGTGGGTAGGAGAAACATTCCATTCAAAACAAATTATAAGGTGGTATGTTTCCGTTAAGACACAGGCAGAATATCATCAATTGGGGCGCTTTCCATTCCATGAAAGTTCCAGTTTGAATTTCTGGAAATTTCGAGTGACCAATGGAACACCATTTTCCGGAATTTCCAGAAAAGAGGACAACCTTGCAAGGTATACCGAGATTTTCGAAAGTTCTTACTGGAATTACTGTTCCATTTGTCTTCACCCCTCCACCCCTCCCCACCCCCCTTCCCCCGAAACTTCCAGAATTTTCAGTTTAACGGTTCGCTTTTTGGATATTCAACAATTTTTTCGGATTTTCTGGAAAGTTTTCCAGGAAATTTTGGTACCATTTGGGTTCCCTGTTTTGAAGTTTTCAGAATTTTTGGTTGCACCCTATGTTTCTGTATAACATTATTAATTTATTCAAATGGTTAGTGGTTTAAAGTGGTAAGTAATTCAAGTGGCTTAAAATAATTATTTCAATTTTTTGGAGAACTATTCGACATAGCCAAAACTGTTAAAAGAAAATAATTTATATCTATAAATTATGTAAAAAGATGTGACAGTGAACGAGATAGTAAATAGCACACGAACTGTGTGGCTCACGTCTTCTTTCAGAAGCTACTGTGTTGCTTACGGTTTGAGCATGGGACACAACATCATCATCATTATCATCATCATCATCATCATTATTATTATTATTATTCAACATACGAGACTAGATTCTTTCAAGAGTTTTAACTAAAGTGGAAGTGTAGAAAATTTAGTCAGTAAAATTTGTACGTCAAGGAACCCTTTAGTAAAGGGCTAGTTAAATTCCAGATTTATAAATATATTGTTCATAGGATATTTTTCAATAATTATTGGCTATCGTGTTTCATTGGGTGGCTATTTATGTAGTTAGCAAGGAAAACAAGCTATTTTGATGTAAATAGTACTGAGCATACTTTTCATGAGGTTGAAACTGAAAGAAAATAAAATCTTCAAATGTCAGATTAGCTGATGTCATTGCGTTATTGATAATTATCACAATTGTTTTTGTTCATAGTCTGCACAAACGTTTTGTTTTGGCATTGAACGCCTCGCAAAATTTTTTTTTCGAGTTCGTCGGCTCGCCAATTGTTTTTTTCCGTCCCCACCGGGAGCCTGTTCGCAGGCTAAAATTTTTCACTCGGCCCGCATCGGCCACTCACTCTCGCGCGCTAGCCTGAGTGATAGTAGCCGGCAAACACGCTCCCGGAGGGGGGCGGAAAAAAAATTGGCGAGCCGACGAGCGGGAAAAAAAAAATTGCGAGCAGTTCACTTCGCTCGCCGAATTATTTTTTTCGCGCTCGTCGTCTCGCTTCGCTCACGGTATCCCAGGGATCAGCAGATAAATATGTAGCCTCCTTCAAAGCCATTTTTATTGGTATCGGTTTGCAGCATTTCGCCTTACGTGGATAGAGTTATGTGGTCTTGTGATACTATTACCGGGTCGCAAAGGAGTTTTTTTACTTTCTGTTTCTAACACAAATCTAGGGTATCAAATAATGGAAGGGAAGAGCTGCTCTACCTTCTGTACCACTACGAACACCTTGAAAACTGCGTAGGGAATAGACGTATTTCTTGACTGGTATCCAAGGTTACCAGGCGTACTAAACAGGAATGCCAACTCCATAACATTTGACGTGTCATGTCAGTTTAGTCCACTGACTGCTAAAACGATTCGCCAATTAATTAGCCAAGAGACTTGCATCTTAGTTATGGAGTACCGCGGCGGAAACAGCTCACTTTATCGCTGTATGTCGAAAAACAAAAGTTTGCAGGGTTCTACGAAGTTTGGCAGCCCTTTTTGAATGCGAGAATAAACCTTAAAAACAAACATAAGAGCACGTGACTAAAGCTAACTGTTGTGGCAATCTGTCAGAAACAAGACACAATTTACATAGGAATCGCTTACAGCTTACAGCGTCCAAAACCCATCGTTTTTGCATATGAAAAGCTACCTTTGTCTCCACCGAGACAATAGCTTTGCTCAGTGCTCTCAGTTGATAAGTTTCAAAGCGTTTTCTGGCCTTTTCTGCTCTTCCATCGATTCAAAAAGAATTCTTTGTTCTGTGTTGAGCGATTGCTGAGTGTCAAATTCAAAATGAAAAGCTTTTGGAAATATCGTAGAACAAGCATTGAATAATAATTTGTTAATAAAAACCCCGCAAATGAAAACGCTGTCGAAAAATTGACGTCGTCAAGACAACAGGTTTGCCAGCTGCTTGAGTCTTTTCATTCTTTTTTTCTGTTATTTCGAGCTGTCAAAGTGTTTAGTATAGTAATGAGCTTGCTCTCGCCATGTCTTGTGGTTTATACAGGCGCTATTCGCGAGGTCGCAGGTTTTTATATGAAGAAGAAGTTCAGAGACTTGTTGAAGGAGAAGAGCGGGTGAAAAGAAAGATCATTTCAACCATTCCAGTGGATGACAGCTATCGAGGCTCTCTCGCTAAGGCCTCTAACCTAAAGGAAACGCTCTCAACAGTTAAGCAGTTTGGTTCGGGTGTATGTCGAATCGAAGTTGTTCAAGAGAATGGCCTTAGTTATGATGGAACCGGTTTTTATTTCGGTGATGGATGGATTCTCACTGCAGCTCATGTTCTTCGAAATCGTGATAAAGTTAACATGGCAAGATTCGTTTTCTTTCCGCCAGAAATGGAAATTTCTTTTGAAGCAAGACCTCGGAGAGCGATAGTTCATCGCCTACTTCCCGCAGGTAGAAGGCCAGATTATCATAACCGGGACATTGCCTTGGTCAAACTTGGCATTCAATTCACTTACGGGAGAAAAAGAGATGATTTAGAGGAATGGGAAATAGACGAACAGCAACTTCTCGAGCAATTCAATTTCTTTGACTTCAGCTCGCTGGTGAAGAACACATTTACTCCCTCTGGTGATGTGCAGTTTAGCTTGAGACGCACGGATCCACTAACCCTTATTCATTTTGGAGGCGCGCAGAATAACTATAAGAAATTTGAGTTCGATATCGCAATGTACGAGGTCTACAAGTATACACAATACAAAGTAATCAACTTCGCTTTTTCTGTTGAGAGCGGCGCATCAGGTTGCCCTGTGATCCAGCTTGTAGGCGGCGAGCAGTGGATTCTGGTGGGTGTGTTATTTGCCGGTGCAACACATGAAAATGAGGCCAGTTCAATCATTGCAGGTCAAGCATTGGTGTGGAACCAAGAGGTTCTTCAACACATTGAAGCTGGTCGGGAAGCTGTCGGAAAAATGTCCAGTTTCAAGCCATATAATGTTCTTATCCCATTCTCTGAGAGAGCTCAACTTGCGTCAGAAAGCAGCGTTAAGAAAGCCGCTGATCTCGCCATAACACATCGAATCTTGATTTTGTAATCCTCCTTTGACATCAACCAAAGTTGTATTAGCTTGACGCGATTATGCGAGGTTTCAAATGTTATAAACAGTCGGTATTGTGTCCAAGTTACCCGTGCGGTCTGATATACATTTAGAATGACCATGATCTAGATAATTTTCTTTTGTTTCAGGATAATGTTAACGCGTTCTCGAAACGATCAAATAAAAAGCTTGTGCCGGTGAACGCATTTACTCAGGAAGTTTACAGTGATGAATTGACAAGATAAAATCCACTATACAACAAAGTTTGAAGATACTACAGTTGGGACATTTTACGAACAATTTGCCGACAGGACTAACAATACCAAAATAACTAACGCGGGAACCTGCTGTACCTACAATAGTGGTGGGATTACTGTATCGACTCAATTTAGCACCCTAAACTCATTCACCTCCATGCTTCTTTGGTGAGGAGCGAGTTGAGCGGACATCTCTTGGAAAGGAGAGTGATGGCTTCCACCCATTTTAAATCCAAGACTTTTAGTAATCGGTTTCACATGTTCATATGCAAAAGGACGGCAAATGTACTTAAAACAACAAATACCTGACTGTCAAATAACCAAATATATGAAAGCAGGTGCATTTTGTAACTTGCAAGCTGAAATCTTTGAATTCTGCATAAAGTCTAGAAATTCGAAGCTTTTAGTACGTGTTATCTTGAAGCGAAGCGACAGAGTGGAAACCCTATTCCTTGAATCCTCGAATTTCCCCCGTACCTCGTAGGTAACTGAACGCGAACCAGAAGTCTCTTTAGAACCCTCGAGAACTCGAAATTCCCCTCCTCGAACTCAAACCAATTTTCGTCTCTCGTGGGAAGAATTTAGCTTTGTTAACTGTAACTTTTAAAATTTAAGAAACCGCTTTTAGTTAGGCTCGCGCCTGAAGTAAAAAGGTGATAGTTGAGGAGGCCGAAGTTCCAATGGACAAAATTTCACCCAGAAAGCTACAGTAAAACAATCACACTATAAATTTTCCATGGCGCTCTTCCGCAAAATCCGGGAACTTTTATTTCCAATTCCAAATGTCAATAATAATAATAATCATAATCGTAATCGTAATCGTAATCATAATCATGTTCATAATAATCATAATAATAATCACGATAATAATCATAATAATAATCATAATAATTACAATAACAAATTATTATTTTAAGAGGAGGCGTCCAGTGGTTTTCAGGAGGGTCCTCTGAAAAATAAAAGTCTAAAATATACACCAAATGTCTAAAATACACAAGTAATAAGAGCTAAAAACTTAAGACAAGTTTTTAGCTTTTATTTAGATGGTCACCATCTACGGGTATATTACGAACTCACAATGTGACCACCTCCCAGTTGGCTTGATAACTCAGTTGGAAGAGCACTGCACCGGTATCGCAGAGGTCATGGTTTCGAATCCCGTTCAGGCCTGAATTTTTTTCAGGCTTTAATTTCACAACTGCATAAGTTGTGTGTATAACTGCGCTGATCATTAACCGCGCGGCCATGGGCCGAGCGCGGTTCATGGTTTACCCGTGGTTTATTTTTTTTATTATTATTATTTTTTTTTTTAAGTTTTCTCAGTGACCAGACCCAAACTTCCACTCGGCCAAATTTTGAATGACGTAACTTGTGATGTTTACTCTCCAAAAGCTGTTGAAACATTAATACAAGGACAATGTTACGGATAGTATTTTCTTTACTTTGGGTAAAATATATTTTGTTTTGGTTTCATCGAAGCGTTGGATTCGAAGGGAAATGATAAATACGCTAAAAAAAAAGGGATTACGACAGCCATGGAATGCGCTGACGTTGCAGCTTTCACTTTCGCTACGTGACAAANCAAGGACAATGTTACGGATATTATTTTCTTTACTTTAGGTAAAATATATTTTCTTTTGGTTTTATCGAAGCGTTGGATTCGAAGGGAAATAATAAATACGCTAAAAAAAAAGGTATTACGACAGCCATGGAATGCGCTGACGTTGCAACTTTCACTTTCGCTACGTGATAAATAAAATCGTGTTTACTTTGCAAGTTTATTTCGGCAGAAGTGAGGTCATTAATTTATTTACAATTTTTCGAGTATTTCTTGTTGTTTTAGGTCTTTTGGTTTTATCGAAACGTTGGATTCGAAGGGAAATAATAAATACGCTAAAAAAAAGGTATTACGACAGCCATGGAATGCGCTGACGTTGCAGCTTTCACTTTCGCTACGTGACAAATAAAATCGTGTTTACTTTGCAAGTTTATTTCGGCAGAACCGACGGTCATTAATTTATTTGCAATTTTTCGAGTATTTCTTGTGGTTTTAGGCCAATCAAGTAAATTCTTTGGCTGTGTCATCGCAGCGAGTTCGGTGATCAGAAGGAAAATTAAATATTTGCAAGCCAAGAAAAGAACATGTCA